GAAGCAGGTGTGGACAGGCAGCACCCTTCCTGCCATGCACTCCGCAGCAATGTCCTGACCTGGGGTTCACGGAACTACAGTCATCTCAGAAGAAAGCGAGAAAAAAATAAATAAGGTTTAGAAACTGACCTGCTTTTCATTTTCATCCTCCAGCCTCAGCCTGTCCTCAATGCAGTTCCTGGCCTGAAGGAATGCTTTCCTCTGAGCCCTTTCTGTCAAAATCCTCACAAAGACCCCATACAAATTTACACTGAGAAAAAGGATTGCATTGGCCACAAGCTGTAAGAAAGAGAGAAAAAATAAATTAGTATTTTCAAATACAGATTTTTATTTTACATTTCTACTCAGCGAAATTTAAAAAGGAGGGAGAAAAAAAAAAGAATGAAGAAAAAGAAAGCATGGTCCTTCAAAATTCTGCCTTGCTAGCCATCTCACTGATACCCCTTCCCACAACCCAACTGCAGTGGAACAATTATAGCAGCTACCACAAGTCTGGGCAAGCAATATTGCATAATACAGAACACCGCATCTGCGGAAGCTAGTTTCTCTTACGATGACCTGTAGCTTATCACTTTCATTCAGCACTGGTTCTTTCATCAGCCCACTGGCAGATCTGCCCATCTAATAAGGAGAGCTGTATCTTCAACATTTGTTCAACTGCAAGATGCCCAGAAGGACAAAATTATTTTCCTATGTCTTTGTGAAGCAGGGATATTACTGTCCCTTTTTTTACAGTTGAGAAGCAAGACACTGACAAAATCTGTGACTAAATCAAAACACGTGCCTAGGTACCCCAAGCTTTCATATTGCGCAGTTTGCACCTGGCAAATCTGCTTCTCCTCCCATATCTATATTGTCAGCGACCACACTGTATTTTTTGAGAAATCATCCAAAATACTGTTGATGCTATCCTGCAGCAGACCTCACAGAAGGTGCTGAGTGCTTTCAAATGATGGCCCTTGGCACAAACCAAGCCTACCACAATGCTGTAAGCAAGGAGAATTAATTACTTTGGAATTACTTCTATGAACAGTGCTTTGATGAAGGACACATTAATGGCCCAATTGCCCTTCTGGGCTTTTTAATGTTTTTACAATATGTGATTAAAGCTAGTTAACTAACATAAATAACTCAACAGTGGCTTGCACACAACCTCCTGATCTAAGACAATCCTGTCCAAGTCTCTCACTGCATCTCTGAATTCTGAAACACATCTTCAGATGGTAAATTCTGCAATGCAATGCAGTGTTTGTTTAGAAAGGAGGCAATAAGGTCTGTTTACCCAATACCTTTTTCAGTCTCATTCTCCATATTTACTCTAGTTACTACCACAGCATCACGACAAGGATTCACGGGACTTAAATTCAAAAATTTCAGATATCAGCTGGCGCATAAGTTGGCCAAGATTGGGTATAACAAGAGCAAAGAAAGACATTACAGTAAGTATCACAATTCATGTTAAATTTCTATGCATCTAAAACAGTTCATAAAGACCATATAACTGCCATTTATTTCTTAATTCACACTAAACATTCCAAGCTAGTACATCTCTACTGTTGCATAATCTGCTACTGTAAATTGAAGGGGAGACCACTGCCCTTGTTTGCAAGGCATAGTGAGTCCAGCTGTGCCAATAACACAACCAAATTTTAAGAAAAATAAAGCCATTGACATGACTGTACAGAATGGTTACTGACTAACGGGACTAGGGTTCAAGGCTTGAATTTGGCCAATATGTTAAGCAAAGATCCAAAATGACATTCAGAAACTCCCTGCTGATTTTGGAGAGCCTTTGGGAAATATTTCAACCTACAAGAATAAGAAGGAAGTTTCCAATGTGTGTAACTAATGACAGCATACATCTCCACCTCCTGTCATGTCAGTATAGTGGGGAGAACAGAAAGATTCATTCTGTGTGGGGTCTCCAGACCTTCACAGATTCATCAGTCCTCTAACTTTCACCTTCATACCTGGTTGTTATTATTTACAGGACATCAACAACAGCTCCCCTGCAGACATTCTCACCAGCGCAAAAATCAAAAGATATCCTGTGACAGTAAAGGGAGCTGTGCCTAGCATTAGTGTTTTCTTTCTCCTCAGATATCAAAAAAGAAAGTTACCTCACAAGAGCTAACATCAGTGAAGAATAACAGTGTTACAGCTTCCTCCCGAGAATGGCAGAAAGTGGGTTTAGGTGTCATCAGTCAGACGAATTTCAACCTAAGACTCTCATATAACAGTTACTTACATGACACTTCTCAGAGATGGTAATACAGATGGTAAAACTTTGAGGATGAAAAGCAGTACATGAGCATATTATTTCATTATACTGGCTGAGCATAAACAGCCTGCAATTCCTATCCGCTTTAATTTGCTTCATCACAGAGAACTGTTTGAGGTGTATATATATTTCCAGCACAAGTTAAAGTCTACTAAGATGAAATTACCATAGAAATTCCAGTAGAACCCTATTTTTAGAGACGTGAGTACGGCCATTCTCACCTGATCGCTGCATTTTGTCATGCTGAAGTGTAGTGACAACAGTGCATTTTAAAGCTAATTCTTAGAAGTGGAATGGAACAAAAATAGAAAGGATTTGTAAAGGCCGTATTCAAAGGCAGTAGAGAGAGCCCACAGATTAAACAGTCCAGACAGTTACAGACGGTGCAACTGTTTGACCTTGTCCATATACAAAACAACAGTTAATAACACAGGGTGAGAAACTAATACTGTCTTTATGTGCTGATATCAGAGTGGCCCGAGACATAAATAATTACTCCCAGAGAGAATAAAAAAAATTAAAAAAAAAAGAGTCAACTCCGTTACTGGTCTTCAACTGGAAGCAGTAAAAGACCATATATTGTAACAATCTTCCAGCTGTTCTGGGACTATCATTACAATTTCACTCAAGCAACGGTGATCACCTGGACTGAGGGTAAGCAGTAGGTGGGTTCCTGCAATCATGAAGCCACTTTCAGACTCAGCAGGGTAAGTCATTTTCCAACATGCTTTGAACAGTTTAAGATAAAACAGAGGCTTAGCTGCCAGCTCTGGCCTGCAGGGAATCAGGAAAAGTGATAAAGCAAGTAAAAGATTCATAGATTTCAAAATGTGAGAAAAGAAAGTAGGGCAGATTGTCTCCTGAGATAAGAGTTCCTTCCCTCCACAACCCATTTTCTGCTTAATTACTACTTTTTCCCCAATTGCAAACTATATACATCTCTCTCTAGGTTTTGCAAATGCATACCATTTCCTGGTCCTTTCAATTTTAATCTGTAATATGTACCTTTATATATACACACATACATACATATATGACTTACATTAGGTGCCACAACTCCAGGAAAGATTAAGAGACTTGCTGTTAAAAGCAAGGATCTTTGAAGAGGTACTGAGGCATCCAGAACTGCTGAAATATCAAGGAATTTAATTTTAAATCATTCCTACATTATTCACTATGCTCCTGCTTAGTAACAAAAAGTGCTTTTCAGGTTTCACCATCACCTTCTATTTACAGAACTACCAAAGAAATTATTTACTTAATGCAACACAAAGTGACTCAAAGACATTTTTATGCAGTAACCTCTTTCAAACAATGTTATTCTCTCATTCTATAATGAGGTAACAGAATCACAGGATGGCGGGGCTGAGAGGGACCTCTAGAGACCACCTAGTCCAATTCCCCTACTAAAGCAGGGTCACCTACAGCAGGTCACAAAGGATCACATTCAGGTGGGTTTTGAATATCTCCAGAGAAGGAGACTCCAAAACACTCCCAGGCAGCTTGTTCCAGCGCTCTGTCACCTGCAAAGCCAAGAAGTTTTCCCATATTCAGGTGGAGCTTCCTGTGCTCCAGTTTGTGCCCGTTGCCCCTTGTCCTGTCGCTGGGCACTACTGAAAAGAGCCTGGCTCCGTCCTCTTGACGCCCGCCTTTCAGTCTTCTCCAGGGAGAAGAGCCCCAGCTCTCTCAGCCATCTCAGAGATGCTCCTGTCCCCTCATCATCTTAGCAGCCCTCCACTAGAGTCTCTCCAGTAGTTCCCTGTCCCTCTTGAAATGGAGAGCCCAGAACTGGACATGGTACTCCAGGTATGGCCTTACCAGGGCAGAGTAGAGGGGGAGGAGAACCTCCCTCAACCTGCTGGCCACACTCTTAATGCCATGTCAGCCAGAATAAGAAACAGGCATCACAATCATGAAAGCCCTTGTTAAAAACTACTTTTCAAATTTATTGTTATCACTGAATCTTGTATTGTGTGTTCTGCATATCTGCTGCACTTCAGTACCAACATCCTGAGCTTTAAGCTTCTCTAGTCCCTCAAATACCTGATGAGACAAGAGGTATGGAGGGCCTGAACTCTACTTCCAGTATTCTCTGTTAATTGAATTTTACTGCAAGTAATTTCTGTGTCACTATTTTTGTTGCTGTTATGTAGACAATGTAACTCATTCTGTCAAGACACTGTGAGATACAGCAATTAAATGCATTATTGTAAAACACGACTGTCTAGTATAAGCCATGTTAAGGAAAGAGTCCCTAAGAACTTATCAAAGCTACAACTTACCAGCAAGACTGTGCTGTTTATGAAAACTGTTGATATCATGAACAAGATGATTTACAAGCTTAAACAAAAACAGTTTCTTTTTCCTGTTATGGAAAATGTTACCATTAAAGCAGTGCTTTATTTACAGCACAAGACTCCATAAAAGAGAATGCACAATTGCCTCTTGAGCCTGATATGGTTTTGTTAAGTTTAGTAATTCACTTAACTCTCTTTGCAAACTTTTGAGAACATTTAATTACTACATCTACTCCCTCTGTTTGCTGAAGTGGCATCGCACAGGAGTAGAGAACTTCTCCTTCGTTATTGACTGTGTCTCAAAAAGCACACCCTCCTACCTGAGAAGGCAGCCAAACAATTTTCTCCAGATTAAAGAAACATATTCCCATTGTGAACAAACATTCCTCTAATTTTTGTTAGTTCTTGTTTTAACTGGTTTATGCCACATACTAAGGGTATACTGTTCTGCTATGATGTTTTCTGGTTTGTGTCTTCATTCACACCCCTCCTGAACCTGCTGCATACTCTAACACGGGATTAGTAACTACATTATTTCAGTGATAACATGTTGAATGAGAGCAGATGTCACTGTTCAGGAAAAGACAGTAGCATTGGGGTGTCTATAACCATAGAAGTGAAGAGACTCTTAGGATATCTAGGATGCTATGTCCATTAACCACGATCAGGATTTGAAGTGTACATGCACAATGTGTAATTGC